ACAGCACCCATTCAAAGTTCTTAATCTAGTAATGCAATCTGAGCACATGGCAAGCCAGCAGTGTTTTGAACCAGTGATGACAGGAAAATGATAATTTAGCAGCATTTTAAGCTCAGATGCAGTGAAACTTCTGCATAATTCCATTACCAAAAATGTTAAATTCAAGTACTGCCTTTAATGTACAGCCCACAGAAAGAGAGAATTAAGACGGAAATCTGGTGACCCTACTGAAAAGCAGCCAAGATCAGACAAAGTCCAGAGCAGCTAAGATCATGCTAATGATTCTTATCATCACCGCAGGCTCCTTACGTGCCAGACGAGCCTTGCAGCTCTTCTCTAAAAGCCTCAAGTGCTCAAGAGTCAGTGAAACCCCTGAAGGCCTTGGGAGCTGTTTGGAGCTTGCAGCACCGGGGCTCCCACCTCGTATTTCTCGTTGATGTCCCCTGGGGTGAGCTCGGTGCTTGGGACACCGAGCAGCCATCTCCACCAGACCAGGGAAGGTCTGCTCCAGCGAGGGAGCTTTCCAGGCTCCAACTCTAACCCTTTACAAGAGCTGTGTATTGTAGCCCTGCAAACCCAAACGTACGCCCCACAGCACCTCAGACCAGCACCCCTGCAGCTTCACCCCGGGTGTTAAACTCCTCAGAAGTGCTCTGTCCTGAGGGAGCAGGGTAGTGACAATCCTGGAGCCATATTCTTCTTCGTTTGCACCCTGGCTCTTCCACTCCTGAGCTTGTTTTTTGTAAGAAAAAGAAACACACCTTTACCACAAGCACAAATACTGCCCTTCCCATCCCTCTGGAGAAACAAACCAAACCTGGATCAGGATGGAAAGGGCACGCTCCCTCCCTCCAAGAACCACCACCTATTCCTGGTACATCAAACCACCACCCAGCACATCCCTCACCCAAGTCCCAATTCAGCAAAGTGCATTTGCCCTGCTGAAAGACAACAAGCCACTGCATTATGGACTAAGACCCATATCAGTGCAAAGTCGAGCACATAAAGGCTTTGCTGGATCTGAGCCGACATAACCTCTGGTCATAAAAGTTCCCTACCGCAATATCAAAGGCTACAGGGACTGCCACTTTGCTGCCGTGCCTCTGCCAAGTAATCAGATTTGGCTGCCCTAGTTCAGTCCCTTAAAAAGGTTTTGCTCTTAAAAGTCTAAGACTAAGGAAAACCCAAACAAAATACTGGGCCTAATGAGATAAAATACTGCATGGGGAAAGCTCTCTCCAGTGACCCAAGTAATGAACTAAAAATTCATTCAACTTTAAGAAAAAAGAAATAATGGCAGCAGACAGCTGCCGACGTGCCAGTTGCAGACAAGGTTGCCCAACTGTGCAGGTCATGGAGGCAGCAAGAGAGGGGACATTGGAGCAAGAAACAACCATTTTAAAGAAAATACTTAAGTATTCCTCTACGTTGTAGTAAGCCAGGGACCTGACGGCCTGCTGAGCTCCATGGAGGTAGGGGGAATGGCTGGGTGGGTGGAGGGAGGCAAGAGTGGCCCAGAGCTTCCGAGCAGGCTGCACTGGTGGGACTGGGCACCGCGCTTTTACTGTTGCTTTTACTGAAATTCACAGGAATTGCTGAAAATATTTTCCAGAACTGCTTTTAAAAGTCAAACCTAAACCTATATTAAATGAACAGTGCCCCTGCAAAGCTGCATGGCCACTTGAACGTCTAGCTGGTGCTGGCAGTCACAGAGAAAGGAACTCATGATTCTGCAGGCAACCTTGTGGATATCGAGTTCAGTTTGCTGTGCAGAAAATGTCTCAAAAGGAAACCACAAGAATGATCACATCTTCATCTGACAAACTGCATCAGATGGAGGGGGAAGAGATGAATGAGGAACTGTTAAATGGTTCTTTCCAGCTTTTGATTTTCAGTTCAAGCCAGGAGTGTTTTTTTCTCTACAGATACTCAGAATTACTATATCTCTCAGGGAGAGGTTGCTGTCTGAGGCAGATTCAGGAATCCCCTTTTGCCATCACTTCCATTCGGGTATTTTTACACTGAAGTCACCATTCACCTGCCAGTTTCTCAGATGTTTGCCAGCACAAGGTCTGAGCTGCCCGCCCCGAAGCAGCTACAGGAGTCACAAAATGAAGCGGGACCCTCCTTTGGTGGTAGCTCACTGTGAAACCCCAGCAACGGCCATCGGCCGCATCGGCACCGAGTCGCTCGTGCCAGGCGCGTGAGACTGGCCCCAGAGCCTCAAGCTGGTTCTCCATTGCCCATACTCCCACCCAAACCAGCACACCTCAGGCAGCTCCGTCCTCTTCTCACCAAAAGGAGTGTAACGTCACACACTCAGCAAAGGTTACGTCTCCAAGGTTTGATCCAACTGCATAGGTTAAACACGTTTAAAAAGACGCAACAACAAAGCACAGGAAGGAAAACCACATGAAGAAAACCCACCCCAACACCTAAACTCAGTCATCCTCAAAGCCTCAGTCAAGGGCTTTCTGAATGACTATCCCAGGCTGTTACATGCAGGCACAGGCACCTTGTCCTCCTCGTGATGGCAGGCAGGAAAGCCCGGGAAGGTTTCTGTTTGCTTTGTGCATCGGGGAGCATCACGACAGGGTGCTGGTCCATGCCACGGTGCGGTAAGGAGCAGACACTGCCACATGCCACAGCACAGCCACACTCTCCCGGGGCAGCAATCACAAGTGTCAGGGCAAACAGAAAAGCGACAGCGACCTTGCAGGCAAACCCTTTTGGCTGCCTCCTCTGTCCAAGCTCTCCACCTTGACACGGGTCCCACCTGGCAAGAGCAGCAAAGCAACTGTTCAGGAGGAGCCTGGGCACACATAGCTTTACAAAACCTGCAAGAAACAGCAATGGCCATGCAGGCAGGTGGGCAGGAAATATCCACTCATACCTCTCACCCAACTGTGCTCCCTGCTCGAACCAGAAAGGAGCTGTAAATGATGAATGGGTTTAAGACACAGGTAACCGGACTGCAACAGCCAAGCGAAGGCCAGCCAGGGCTCTGAACCTCCAAGCTGGAGCGGCGAGGGAGCAGGGTCCCCAACAGATCTGCCAGTAAATGTGAGACCTGGGAAAAGTGGTCCAAAGGGCTTTTAACGTGAGCTTCCACAGCCTGACCCCCAGCACACTAAAAACAGGAAAAAAGTCCCCCTTGAGCTCATCAGGCTTTGGAGCCAACTCCAAATATTGCAAACAGTTATGCTTGGGACAGCACAGTGCGTATCTCACACTCATCCATGCCAGTGCCCCCTGCACTGTTTAGAGTTCAGTTGATGCGTTCATGTAGTTGTAAGAGCTCCGTTTTCACAGATTCCCTGTGAACACAAAACCATGAAACGAGTGACTTGTCCACTGAATAAACCAACCAGCAAATACATGCACGAATATTTTCTAAGCTGGGATGTTTCTTTTATCTCTATATTCCATATTCTGTCACTGTTTCCCAGCAGCATTCAATCTCCTTCTGTATGACAAGGATGGCGAGCTCTCTGGGTGCGTGGTGGCAGATTTATTTTATGAGCCTAACTCACCACCTGTGGGTCAACCAACAATTTCTCTAACCGTGCCCAAAACCAACACCATGGCCAACAGTTTGTCATTGCCACTCCAGGTGGATCCAGACCAAGTTTTCTGGACTGAAGCAATGCTTCTTGGAAACGACTGATGCCAGGTGCCTGAACCCTGCCCAAAACTCCCCATCTACCCCCAAGCTGGATGCTCCAGACCCATACCTGGCCTCCCTTCTTCTGCAGTATGGAGCCGGGGGGGGGGTTCTCAAAGCCCTGGAAAGCACACTGGCTCCCATCCAGCAAAACACTTAAGCATGTGGTTTAACTTTAAGCATGTGATTGCAGCTGGAACTGCACATGGGCTTAAAGATAAACACATGCTCCCACGTTGTGCTGTACATGGCCTCGGCCAGGGCACCCCACCCCAGAGCGCCCCACAGGCGCACCCACCGTGTCGGCTGGAAGGAGGACGGCCAGGAGGGCAGCACCTTCTCAACACCCCTTTCCTTCGCTCACTGTCTGCATTTGGCACTGCTGAAGGTGACACAGAGCCAGCACAAGTGGCCCAGGGCCTCCACGCAGAGCAGAGGTGTGACACAGGCGAAGACAAACCCCCCCAGGCCCAGTTTGACTCGCCCGCAGCCTCCGGCCAAGCACCAGAGCCAGTAGCTGGCTGTGGCGAGAGCCAGGCAGACCCTCCCCACGGGGGGCTTTTGGGAAGGGATTGCCAACTTCCCAGGAGCAGACACACATGCAGATCTTAGCAGGTAAAAGCCAGGCTGGGGAGAGGCAAATTAGTGGTCACCCTCACCCCCTCGAGCAGCCAGGCACCACGGCCTCAGCGAGCATCAGTGCGCAGCTTCCCGTGCTGCTTATTCACGGATCATTGGTGAGCAAAGCATTCCCCGAGCGGCTGCACAGCATATTCCACCTCCTGCTCTCTGCTCCGCGGTAGGAACTCGTAGATGGGAAACAGCCAAAAAGGATGACATCCTTTCAGAAGAACAGAGGGAGCTGGGCAGGGCTGGCTCTCGGATTTCTTCTGTCACACACACGCACGCATGGGGCTTGGAAGGCAGCAAATGTCCTCTGCTTCCTGATGCAGACCCCATCCCCTTGCTCTTTTCTCAAGCACCAGGGACAAAACTGCTAAGGGGCAGTGGCACATCCACCCACCGCACCTTGCCCCATTCCCAGTGAATCTCCCTGCAAACACCCGTGGGAGCCAGCAAGCCCTGCCGGGACCCGCTGGCCACCACCCGCCACGGCTGCGGGAGCACCGCACCTCGCACGAACGCTGCACGGTGCCTGCTCACCGCACGCTGCAACGGCCACCGCACAATGCAACGGGCAGCGCGTGTTGCAACGGGCGCTGCACGCTGCAATGGGCGCTGCACGTTGCACCGGGCACTGCCCGTGCCACAGCCGCTGCCCGGTGCCGAGCCCCGCGGCCCCGTTTCCCGGCCAGAACGGCCCTTCCAGCCTTACCCAGGTGGTCACCCGGAGGATGGTCTGCGGCTGCTTCAGGAAATCCACGGGGTCGATGGCTCCCCCCGCCCGGCCCGCTCCGAAGGAGGCTCCTTCCATCTTCCCCCTCCGCTCCGCGCCGAGCCCAGCCGCGCGCGCCCCGCGCCGGCCGCGCGCCTGCCCGCTCCCCACCCCCCCACCCCCCCCCCCCAGCACCTCCCGCGTGGGCTCGTCCGCAGCGCCGCGTGCGGGCAGCGGGAGGAACCACCCGCGGGGCGGGGGGACGCGGCAGGTGCGCGCAACCCGGCGCGCTTTAGCTTTACCCCCCCCCCCCCCCGCCACCCACGCAAAGCCGAGCTGCGGTGGCGGGACGCGGCCGTGGGCACCGTGGGCAGCCGGTGTCACCGTGCTGCGGTTGAGGACACCAAGGGTACCGCCGGGGTCACCGCGCTATCCCAAGGAGTGCCGTGCTGCTGCTGGGGGCAACGCGCTACAGGGCAGGGGTCGGGTGTTGTCACCAGGCTGTGCTGGTGTCACTGGGCGATGGCAAAGGGCTACCTGCCCTACAGCCAGGGCAACCCCCCCGCCCCGTCCCTAAGTACCTGGGCTGGTGGCAGGAGGGACATGCCGTGGCACGGTGCACAGGGAGGTCACCACGCTGCTGGGCTCACCTCTGCTGCAAACACACAAGCCGATAAACACCCGTTCTCTGCCCAACCCCGCCGGTGTCCCCAGGCCAGGCAAATGTAACAGCGGAAGGGGCTGCTGTCACCTCTGGGGGGGAACGGGAGGCTGGCAGGGTCCCCCCCGCAGCAGGCAGGGCCCGAGCGACGTGGTTTGAGGGGGCTTGGCGGGGCCTTTGGGTGAGGGAAAGGTTTAGCAGCCGCTTCACGGCGAGGCACGCGGTTACGCACCCGTTAGCTGGTGCAAGAAGAGGGAAGCGAAGCCTGAGCAGGATGAAGCTCTTGTTTCCCTCCTGCAAGAAGGGAAGAACCCAGACCTGCCGCAGGACAGGAGGAGGCCAAGCCCCATCCCCACTCCTTCCCCAGGGACAGGAGGAAGGAAGAAAAAGAGAGGAACCTTACAGAGGGAAACCCTCAATTACTGCAAAGGGAGTTCCTCCCTGCGGCTCCAGGACCATCTCCAGAGTTAGTTTTCATAGCGCCGCGATGATGATCCCGGTTCCATAGATACCGATGCCATGACAACTCTGACATCATCTCTGCTTCGGATGGGAACTGCAGGGAAAGTCGCAGAGAGGAATACGCATGCACTGCTGGCGTGGAGCAGGCCTCCGCTCGGGGCTGGGGGGCTTCTTCCAGCCCTCCTGCCCCTGCAGCCCCGTGTCCCCACGCAGGGACCAGTGCCCCTGCCAGATCGCACAGGGCACGTGTGTAACAGGCGTGCAAAACGCTGTAACAAAGCCAAGGATTCCCATGCCCTGTCTACAGCTCGCTTCAGCCTTTTGCAGCTTTGTTGGTCTGTTCTTCCTGACAGGTGGAATCGGGATTTAACTGTTAAAGCTTATGATAATCCCATTCAGTTTTTCTCAATTACAGGTGAGTCATCATCTCTCCAGATCTATTTCTGACTCTCAGCAGGGAAAGCAGAATTCAGTCTCTCATTCCTCAATGTCACCAGCTCAGTAGAAATCACATTTTACTATGCTAAAACGGAATGGCTACAAAGAGAATACCAGGTCGGTCCCTCCTGCTTTCTTCTGGCAGGATGTCTTACAGGGCTGGCCAGGGATTGCACCCCAGTGTCAAGAGCATTGCCAGCTCATCCCTGAATGGCAGGTTAAGAGCAAAGACCATATTAACTTGAAGGGATTACCACAGGTGAGATTTTCAAACAGCTTCAGCAGTTTAGAAGCAGCTGTTCCAGGGTCCTAAAAAATCATTTTTCATGCTTTCAGAATAAACCACCCTGTATCCACCAGCCCCAAGTTCCGCACTGCTCCCCGAGGGTGGCCCGTGCCAGGGAGGCTCCCTTGGGCTCAGCACACCCCGCGAGCGGGTGTCCCCGCAGCCACGGCCACGCCACACGTGGGGCTGTGCAACCCGAGCAGCTCGCGCACCTCAAAGGCTGTGGACAGACCCTCAGAAAACCAACGGCGTGCAGAAAGCTGGGCGGTAAGACGGACGGGCAGGAGAGCAGCATGCTCCCAGGGCTACTGCACAGGGAATCAGCTAGACCTCCAGGGTCTGCTCCTGGTTTGCTGATGACGTTGGGAAAGACACTTCAATCCTCCCCCTTTCCAAAATACCTTGCCCAGCTCATCTATCCCGACTGGGACAGGCATATTTCAGACAACGCAAAGCACAAGGGACCGAGATACTGCGTGAATCTTTTAGATGCTACTGTAGAACAAATCCTAACTGTTGCCAGACAGATACATGGTTTATTCGCTTCAGGGCTTGACTGTGATGCATCTGGCAAGATCCCCACTGAAATCCCTGCTTCTAAACTCGTCCTCTTTCTTCAAGGTTCATCTCTCCAACTTCTGCTGTGTGCAGTATGTTTATACAATCATTTTTCACGTCATGTTCTAGCTTTTTTTTCCCCCTGCTACAGTGCAGATAAAGCACAGCAGCTATCTCTAGCCTACATGCAAACTGTATTTTTGTTTCACTTCCTATTGCTGCAAATAAGCTCACAGATACACAGAGCCAGCCAATAACAGGGAAGGGTATTGCATCTTGAACATTTTCCCCATCAAATGGGGGAAAAGAACAGCATTTGGAAATGGCACTTTCCAGAGCATTTGCTCAGTTTGAACAAGTTCTGTCTGCATTTACCACTCCTGCTGGATTTTAGGGGCAGGGAACAAACAGAGCAGCATGGAGACAAGTGCCTGAGATCTGTCTTTGTTTTGATTTTATGTGAGTTTAATTAAGGGTAGTGGAAAACATGGGTTTTCCTCCTGCTTGTCATAGTCACACTGACTTCTTAATCTTTGTCTCCAACACAAAAAAGTGATCAGGTTTTTACCCAGGGGTAAGTACATGGACATGACAACCTTGAGGGGACAAGATGTGTGGCTTTCTCCTTCCTCAAAGCCTGTTAGAGTCAGCACTACCCACTCAGCCAAGGGCTGATTTCAACTAGCTCTACAGAGCTAAGAGCGGCGATGTTTTTCAAGGACATATGGCCGAACACAAACAATTTATGAAAGCTTACCAAGTTACCTGTTGTCAGCTGAATAACTGTAAGCGATGCTAGCATTGCTCTGTGAAGCAGAACGTATTTGCAGAAGTCTCCAAGTGGATAGCCGAGGCGAACAACCTGCGGCCCCAGCGCTGCGATCGGGACCTGGCCCATAGGGAGCCCAGTAATGGACAAGATGAGTCAATACAATTTCTTTAGCAGGACTGACTGTATTTCCTCTGTGACAAAGGGTAGCAGCAGGATGTTCCTGATCTGGCAGGCAAAACAATCAGCCACACTTTCTACTTAACATCTCCAAAATAAAATAGTGATGTGAAACTGCCCTGCTCTCAGAACACCTTTGACAATGTATTTATAGTGAAGCTGCTTGGCCCGAGCGATGCAAATAAGCAGCATGCAGGCTCTCTGCAGCGCGTGGCCCGCGGGAGCCAGCCAGGTTCACGGCCCACTGATGTGAGCTGCTCAGTGAGGTCTGACACCGTCTTTTGCACGGGCATGGGTGGTAAAACAGCTTGCCCTCCACAATCCCTGGGCAGCGCGCTTGAAGAAGTACTTTGATAGATGTTCATTTACTTGCTATTCTGAAATGCTTCGCTTGGCATTCATTAGAGTTTGCCCAATATTGCTTTCAGCCATTAGTCTCTAGAAAAACGAGACAGTTGATGGAAATATTGAGAGGTGCTTAGAAATTCATAGTGCCCAGTAGCAGAGAGAATGGACTTCCTGATTAGCAATACCTTAGCACACTATCACTAGAAAGCTCCTTAATGCCTTTCACCCTAAGAGATCCTAAAATATCTGGAAAATCATTTATTAGCTGGTTACTCATCCACTTTTGAAATGCAGCCATTTCTCAGGTGGTATTCAGCAGTTACTCTGCAAGTATAAACACAAGGTAAGTATGCTAGAAAAAAAATGCAGAAAACTTTACTACCTGAAATCTCACAGGGAAGATTTGGGTAACAGAACTCAATTGAGATAGTATTTGAACAGAAGAGTTAATATCTCAGTACTTGCATAAAAAACAAACTGAAAAAAAATGCTTTCCAGTTGTGCAATTGCAGGCTTGACGTCTCACCTAGTAAACTTATTCTTTGTTTCTTCTTAAAATATTTCATAGCATGAACAGATCAGGGTTTCTGGCAAACCAGTAATCTAATCTGATTCGGTCACTGGGCTGAACTCTGCTACATGAAGGTGCACAACACCTCGGGAGGAGCTAGACAAAAAGGAAATAAGATCCCTAGCTGTTTTCCAAACTGACCTCTTTAGGACCACAACAGCAAGTCACATCGTGTAGGGCCTGACCAACGAGTTGACTGTGGTGCTTGTCATCTGCTACCTGCCCCGTGTTGCAGCTAAGCAGGTATGGTAATGCGAGCTGAGCTGACAGCTACAAGGACACCGGGCAGCCTCCGAGCGGCTCCAGCCACGCTCTGACATGTAGAGCTTCCAAAATTCTCATTTGCACTACATCAAGCTTTGCTGCCAATGGAGCCCTCCCCCAACTCACTCCTGTTATTATCATTTCTGCTTGTGCTACACAAGAACACAGGATCCACAGCAAAAGGTCTGGGGGAAAACAAAAGGGCATGATGTTCGTGTAATGAATGTGGTATCTGTAGCGATATACCAAAAATAAGAAACGCTTCTTTTCTTAACTGAACGTAGCAAATACTAAACAGGTCCACAGATTCAAAAGAAAGATGTAACCTGATGTGAAGAAGATTGTGGAACAGATTGAGATGAGCGATTTTATTATAGTGAACAGTCTCAGGCCCAGAACTATGCAGTACAAGCACATTAAAATACGCTCCCTGAAAGAGATTTTAATCAACATAGGAAATACAGGCAAAGGCTGCTGAAACCACCATTTTTATCCCCATTTTGCAGAAGGAGAAGTGTGGCTACAAAAGATGAAGTGACTTACCTGGAGTCTAGCAAGAAGTTTATGACTAAGCAAGAACTGACTTTCGAGCTCTTGAGTCTCCAAGCCATGTGCTCTAGCCACAGAGGCCTTGTCTTATATACCTTGCATATATTTTACCCTATCTAAGAAGCATGACATGAGGCACAGTCACAGAATCCACTTTTTCACACTACTGGTAGCTTAGGCCAGGTGTCAAGGATGGAGGAAGCAGGGAAAGCCCAGGTTTGCCAAACCATACTCAGCATTTGAAAGGAAAGTCCCCATCCAGCACCAGGACCAGAGTTTAGACCTAAAGTTTGGTGTTCTGGGAAAAATGGAAGCTTTGAGGGACTGCATGAAATAGCTGCCTGGTGTCTGCTGTGGGAAAGATGTTAATTTAACTCAGCTGCTTTCTTTCTCACAGATCTGCTAGTTCAAAGCAAGACTCCCGTGAAACTGTGGGTTTTCTTCCTACCTCTTCCCATGCAGAAAGGCGGGGCTGCATCCCTGTATCTCAAAAGAAACAGCTTTGCTGAAGTCATGACTGTCCTGTGATCTTCCTTCTAAATCCTCTTTTCCTCCACAAAGCACCCAGAGCAGATGACAACCATGCCAAGTAAGTTTGATCCCTTCTCCAACTAAAAATTACGCCTGTTTCATGACCTCTGGTGTACCGTTCCCCTTGTCTATCATCTGGTCTGTGCATGAGCCTACGTGAGTCTGCACATCCACTAAAGAGACTGTGTGTGGCACAGCTGAGTTGTGCCAGGATGCACCAGCTCACCTTTGAGCAAGCTACACATCTCGCTCCCATTTGCTGTTGGCTCAGTCCACAGGAGGAACAAAGCAAGCCATGGGATCTAACCCATTTCATTTGTCCTTTCCAATCTGTTAACGAGCTGATAAAAAAGCCAGAATTCTTCCATATATTACCAGCTATGGGCTGATGATCAGGTAGGAAACATGCTAGAAATAGCATGCAGACAGTGTTTTATTATACTTCCAAGTGCAAAATTTTAGCTGCGGACAGAGTAGTAACACATTCCTCATTTAGGTAAGTATACAAGAGGTATTGCACACTAGTCTGAAAAGTAACTGGTCACCAACATCTCCTCCCAAAACCATAAGAAAGGAACTAGCATGAGGTAAAGCATTTGATGTCTGGAGCAGTTTGCTATTCCAGAGAAGCAGAAGACAAGAAAGTCAAGGAAATAAATGCTTTGTTGCCCTCTACTGTTGGCTGGATTAAGATGCACAGCAAATTTTCCCGTGGCTTCACCCCTCTGAAGCACATTGCAGTAACAAACAGAAGCCAAGAGGCACTAGAAGCCCACTGAGCGCAGACAGGATTGTCACCCACCAAGGGGAACAGAACAATTTCAAAGCTTGGCAAATGCTAGAGCTGTTTGTCAGACTTCTGGAAATGTTAAGAAACATTACAAAAATTAAGGACTGAGCAATAAGAGATACCCCAGCAACAGAAGAGATAAGGGTACTGAGTCCCATTTATCCTTAGTCGGTAGTAACCAACCTTTGTTCCAGAGTTTTGCAAGCTGTGGCAAATTTTCTGGCATGCAGTAGATGTGTGCTGTGTGCCAACTACCATCATCTCTCAGCTCCCTCGATTGTGAATTAATTGTGCATCAGTGCAGACACACCTGAACTAGCTGTGTCAGCCAGCCTGGAATCGGCATATGGTGTTGGTGTGCACTTCCCGGCAGGATTTGCCAATCCAGGTCAGTGCTTCAGCTGACCGCAACGCTGACCCCCGTCCCCTCAAACAGTTCTAACTGCTGATTTGCCTACATGCTATCAGCCATGGGTTTGCTTTATTTGCTTTATTATATTTTCTATTAGCCTACAAAATCAAGAGTTGACTTCACACAACCTTGTTGGCAGTTTCTACTGAAGTGCTTATTCCTGACTGCATGAAATACTGAACAGCTACTCTCCACCATTCAGACAAAAACCTGCAGGCATTCCAGGAATGGGAGGAAAAAAAAAAAAAAAAAAAAAAAAAAAAAAAAATCAGTGCTGATAGGAAGGGGCAAAAAGCCCAAACCAAAATCTAAACCCTACCCTCTCCCAGCCTGTAAAACTCCAACAGGAAGAACTATCCCACACTGCCTGTAACAGGCCGGAGCAAAAGACACATGCATGCAAAGCGACTCTTGGGAATCTTACTGTAACCAGCAGACTGTATACACACCCAACGCACTGCAAAGGAACAGCTAATCCCTGGAAAAATGTTAAAGGCATAGTGGTGCTTCCACCAACATCTGCACTTGTTACCTGCTTAATGCTGCCTCCCATTCATAAAACAGACAATTCCCTCCTGTCTCCCTGCTCTTTGCTTTCAGGGTGGGGAAGGAAAAAAAAAAAAGAATAAAAAACCCAAAAGTACAGCTACGAACGCAAACCAGCCTGTGAAAACAGTAAGCCCTTTGTGAAGCTGCAAGGTTAGCCAGGTGCCTATTACAGAGGAGCAGCTCTCGAGGAAAGTCCCACAAGCTCCTTAGGCAGCACCAACTCCTGACTGTGCTTTGCCTTGCAAGGGCTCCTTGTATTGACAAGAAGCAGCTTCTCCTTTCTGGCAAATACGATGGGATGTGCACAGTTGTGCAGTGAATATGCAGTTAACAAACACTGCCCTTCAGTAGATGACACCCTCTTCTGCCACCCTGCTCAAATTCAGCAAGATTTCAGCTACTCCCAGCTGTAACGCTACTCTTAATGCTGTTAGAAACGTACAAGAAAAAAAATCCCACTTGAACTCCATAAAAAAATCCCACTGGTCCCTACATAAAACCAAACTCTGATCTGATGGGCAAGGACTCACTGTACAAAATCACTGAATTTTTTTGTAGCTTCTTGGCCCATGAAGAACTGCGTCAATTCAACAGTGCAACAGAAAAGGACCAGTTGCAGCCCCACCTTGCCAGTTCAAAACACACAGAGAGAATTCACAAAACCTCAGCTGAAGAGTCAAGCTCAGACAGTAATATACTGGCATGCAGAAGCTTAGACACATCAGCACAATACAATGCCTCTTCCTAAGGTCTCATGCAGTAGGGGAGCCAGGAATGAACTCAGTTGCACTTTATTATTTTCACGTAAGTAGGAAATATAATTTGAATACAGATATTTTTAAAACTGGATTTAATCAAGTGCATTTAGAAGAGAATTCACAATTTTCTGTACACAGCTACAAGTATCTTCAATAGAAATTCTTTACATAAGATTAAAACTTGAAACGTGGTACAAATGAGCAGCAAAAAAAATCTCCCCCTCCCTGCACAGGCAGGTTCAGAGATGATGATATGCCAGAGAAACATCTAAGCCAAAGCTCTTCTGCCATAAACATGAGAGAACAGAGTACAAGCATGTATTTCACCAAATGGCCACTTAGCAAACAGTAACATCCTAGCAGCCACAGCTGGTGGCCTCAGTAGGAAGCATTTGCTGAAGATGCTGGCTTCTGCTTTAAGGCTCTTCCCCTACCCCTGTCCCACTGCCAGGACAGCAGCACAGCACATGCTGGAAGATGGGGTTTTTCCTTCTGCACACCTCTATGACCTCCTTGAACAATACAAGGTGAGAAAAATTTTGTGTTGCCACTGCTGCTCCCCCCAATTTTGAGCAGGATACACATTTCTTTTCCTCTCTGCACTCTTAACACGTGGACAGACACTGCAGTACAGTGGAAGGTTACCATGCACCTGCCTAGTAAGCGCAACTCCCTGACCTGGCCCATTTTCAGTATTAAGGTGAAAAGGGATGAGACAGGTGTTCTACCAACCCACTCATTTACAATGAAGCAAATTAGGAAGAAATCTCATCATCTGCTCCGTGGGCGATGAAACTGTCAGAGAGAACAGTCGAGGGCAGATTGGAAAGGAAGAACAGTAAATTCATCCTCTAGCACAACCAAGTCCAGAAGAAAAGGCCGGTCCACGCCCCCAGCTGCTAAAGCTATCCTGACAGAGCAGCGTAATTCAGGTCATGCCCAACAAAAGGGGAGGCCTACAGTCTTTTTGTTGGTCCTCTCCCCACTAGCGGACAGCAGTGTGCTTCATTTTGGGGACTGAGTTTATTACCAAAAAGACAAAAACCAAGGTCTAGAATTTATTTATTCTAAGAACCTCGACGTGCTAATAGGGAAATTTTCTGAGCACTGTTAATAACAGGAATGATACCTTCAAGTTGTAAATCAGACTGCATACTTCATGAAGTACCTTATCATCAGTTTTGTTAGGTTTGTGTTTAGGGACACAAATAAAAAACTTCAAGAATAACCAGTCCATAAAATTTGTTTCATACCAATTTAACAGGTCCAATTTGAAAGAACTTGAATACACCTTAAAACACTAAAATGTATTTCCAAAGTTCTTATTGCTTTTCTAAACACCAAGGAGCCCCATGCATACAAGCTCGAAGATCAAAGTTCTTAGATATGAGCTGTCATCACTCTCATACTATTGTAAACGTACCATTAACATTTCCAAGTAACACTCTATCAGCAAGAGTAAATTTACAAATGTACTGTAGTACATGAAATAAGGAAGCTCACTAAAACACGCGAGAAAACTTCAGCAGGAAGTACAGAAGCAAAAAGCCCACTATTGTCATGGTTTGGGCAGACTCCTGCAAACTTTCCACAGCCAGAAATGCAATAAGGACATGGTATCGCTATCTACCTTAAGAACTTTAAATTCATTTTTTTTTTGTAAGCTGTCTCTTTTTATAGAGAGAACATGCATTGTGGTGTAAATCACTTATGCTGCTATTTCACTTGAAACTGAAATTCATACTGATGTATCAATACACTGATGCAGTATAGCTGACCTAGGAAAAATACACATAGCATGGATTCTGACCTGTTCCTACAGAGGGAATCTACCCTAGGGACTCTTCTGAGTCCCCTGTGCAATAAATACTACATAAAGCTGACATCACAGTCTTAAGCAGGACTCAGAATATTGTAGGGGGCTTGTAAAGTCGTTTTGTTCTAGAGAAATTTTTAGCTAGGGGATAAAACCAGAATATCAACTCAGTCAGCAAGTACCAATCAAGAATTTCAAAACACAAGTGACATCTCAGAAATACTGTATGCTAAACAAAGCTAAATATGCTTCATTACAGATATCAGTCTCAAACTATTTTCGCAACATAGACAAAACTTCACAGTAGATATTAAGAGGTTATCTGCTTTAAGAATAAGTAGGTTCAGGAGAACTTATCATCATACTGCTTCTGGATCCGAAGGAAATTAGCAGTCAATTTAAAACATTTGAATTTCACCCAGTTCATACTTCATTCCACGCATCAGATGAGGGGGTTTTATGCCCTGCTTTAGTTCTCTTTTCTACAATGTTCTCTTATATGATAAATTGAAACACAAAAATGAAATGGGAAATCTGGGCTCAGTGATTTTAGTATTTCAATTAAATGTACCTGCCTTCAGACTTTTTATCAAAGGAACTGGAAGCAAATTTAACAAGCAGCACTGGAGATCTCAGAGAGATCCACGGGTACAGACTTGGCACAGAACACAGCATGAGCTTTCTCGATCAGAACAATAGAAATTAAAATCATAATTAATCAGATGCATCTTCTAAAACATCAGGATAATGCCTGCAGATAAACATAAAATGCTACAGGGCAGCCCCCTACAACTGTGTTCAGGGAAGATGAATTCTAGTCACAGATATAAGCAAATGCCCCTAAAATAAGGAAATGTCGTAATGAAAAAGTCTCTACAAGTTTGTGACAATTTCACAGGTTTCTGGTGATTCCTGTGTCAAATGTAAGGCCTCAATCCCTCAGATAATACATTTATGTAATCATTTATCAAAATATGATTAGTCTAAGATTTTCAAATTCACTTTTAGAATTGGTTTACCTTTATTTCCACAAGCCATATCAATCACACACACAAGCACGCAAACACACAGCTGCTGACTGGCACATCTCCCTGTAGTGACTCGACACCAGATTGGTCTCTCAGATCTCCAAAGCAGTCTCTACAGATTAATCACAACTACCATCTTTCCAACCATCTCGCCAGCGCTCATCCACACGAGAGCAGTCAAATTCAGATTTCCCCAGTTTCCTGTTCACTTCATTATGAAGAAGACACAACCACTGGGAGAAGTTATTTCTGTTGCTAGTATCAGGCTGATTTGCACGTAATCTGCAAACAGGGAAGAGGAAACAAATGTTACTTCTTTACAGTCACCAACTTCAATACCCAAAGCATGTAGCACACAGACAGCCGGAGTCGCCTTTTGTGCTACTGCAAGATGAGTCCCAAAGAGAACCCAGGACAGAGCACACAGAGATCTGTAACCATCAGAGATCAAACCTCCACTATAAAATACTGATGGGCTGCGATTGGCTTGCCTTCATTCACTGCCTAGTCTTATCAGCTAGAAAAGACGGAGGAGTCAAAACAACTTATCTATGATAAAAAGCAAGAAGTACTTGAGCTCATCAGAACACGGCATTAAAAAAAGCATAAGTTGTTTGGCCATGTAACGCCTGCTAAGTTGATAATTAGGTTTCAAATTTTTTTGTGTATGTTCATCATCCAGAAAAGAGGAGCTGAAACTTTTGAGAAACAAGCTGACAGAAAGAGAAGTAGAAAACTTTATAAAACGTCATAGGCTATTTCAGTATTTGCCTCCACTGCTGATGTTGACAATAAAGGGGATTTTCTGAGGCATAACACTTGTCTCCTGAAAACCACGTTATTTCGGGTCCCAGCCTAATTCCACACCTGAGAGCAAGTCCAGTTTGAGCCAGAAAATCCCAAAATTGCCCCAGGGAGGCCTTGGAGGCAGCACACAACCTAACAGCATGAGAAAATGTATTTGTTTTTTGACTAAGCGTATCTCTGATTTATGCAATAATGGAAGAAACCAGTTCAGGTGGCTACAAACCCCAAATGCAGGAAGAGCTGCCGATATGCAAATAGCTGCTGCAGCCCAGCATTTCAGGCTAGCCCCTTCCGCAGCTGACACCAAAACAAAGCCGATGAAGCAACTCACCTTTCCCTCAGATCCTCAGCGCAGTGCTCACAGGGGTAAAACTTGGAGAAGAGGTTGATGAACTCCCTCATCTCCTTCTGCTGGGCACCGGTGGGGCGGTCGGGGTAGTATGCCGCCATGGTGTGCAGGAACGCCCAGGTGTTACGGCCCAGCTGCTCGCTGTCAAGAGGACAGTCCGGAGGCGGCTCTTTCTCCTCCGTAACGGTCAGGTCCTGAAGCAGGAGAGAGAGGGTTGTGAGGGGACCCCGGCACTTGGTGGGAAAACAGCCCTTTGTCGCTTTAGGTGGATGAGATGGGGAGGGAACAGGCCCTTCACACCCTCAGCAGGGGACAACGGCTGAACCCTCCTCCACAGCCGGTGGGGAGAAGATGGAGGCCCCCTTCACACCCCCGCAGAGGGAAAACCCTGGCCCTGGCCCCTTCACGCCCTGAGGAGGCGGACACACAGCCCCATCACACATAGCGGGCAGGACGGAGATGCATTTTACAGATCTGCAGGGGCCGGGGTGACAGGGGAAGCTCCCGCCGCCCCTCCCTCAGGAAAGCCGCCGCCTCACCCCGCCGCCCGGGGCCGCCTGCTTCCTCTGCTCGCGGAGCCAGCTCTTAAAATCCGTGCAGGCTCGGCACGGCTTCTTGGATGTCTCCTCCGCCCCGGAGTCCGCGGCGCCGTGCGGGACGGCGAAAGGGAAAGCGAAGGGACCACTCTCAGCGCCCGGGAACGGCGTCGCGCAGCGACCCGGCCGGCCCTCGCTGGGCGCCGCCATCTTGGCGCCGCGATGCACCACGGGCCAGGGCGGTCGCCGCGGGAGGCCGCCATTTGAACCGGGTCCGGTTTCCCTCAGGCGGGAGCAGGAGGAGCCGTGGGTCGTGGGTCGTGGGCCGTGGGTCGTGGGTCGTGGGCCGTGGGCCGTGGCCGGGGTCTGACTCGGAGAGAGCCTCGCTGTAGCCCCGTCTGGGCGCTGGCTCGAGGGACGGGGATTTTCCCGAGTCTGGGTGAGGAGGCTCAGCCCGGGCATTGGCCGTTAAACACCACACACAGAAGTGCAACGTTTCTGATTTTTTTTTGCCAATACGGCAGCAGGCTGTGGGTCGGAAGCTTGTGTTTGAGAAAAGGGCAGGTTTTCCTTCACACAGCATAATGACATGAGCCTCATGCTTGTCCACTTCGCATCTGTACATATATATATATATATATATATATATAGACAGTGTGTGATAGAGTTCGTGGTACTGAGCCGCTCTCGTGCCAATGGTGGCAAAGAGCACCTCAGCATTATCGTTGGCGCAGTGGTAACAATCAACAGCGTGATTTAAAGAACAAACAAATGAATACCTCAATTCCACTCCACGCACCTGTAGCACAACACGCCCGTATCAAATTTTACATGTTTTAACGCCTGTCATGTGCTTGTAAAATTATATTGAGGAAGGAATTACTTAACGCTTTCCGAGAGTGTTTGCACGTGTTACACAAGAGCAGGTATGTCAAAGAATTGAGCACTTGCCTGTGCCTGGGCTGTTTGGGGGGCGAGGGAGAGCCTGGGCTTTGCCCCAGCAATTTGGTCTCGAGAGGACATCGAGCAGCTTCCCTGTTACTCCTGGGGAGCCCCAGGTTTGCGAGCACATGAGGGTGATGCCCCACCTCCCGGGCGATGGTCCGGCATGGCATCAGCTTCAGAGCTGGGTCTCTCCCTTCTTGGAAAGGTTAATTAGCTGTGGCTTGGCACTGCTAAAAGCGCAGATCAAGCTTTTGGCCGATTCATCCCGTAGTCCGAGGGGGTGTGACTGCCTGGAGTGTGCCCTGCAGCCAGCCTCCAAGACACAGCCGCCTTGGGAAGGGCCTGGGGGTCAGAGGATAAAAAGTTGGAGGGCAGCAGAGACTTGCTCTTTTCCTTCTTTTTGGCTTGATGCTGTCATGCCGTTAGAGGTTTGGAGGCCATAGGATAAATCTCCCACTGTGGACAATGCACTCTAGAATGTGAATTTTGTATCTGCTTTACGTCCTGCAAGTCAAGTGAAAAATATGATTATTTTGTTTAATGCAAACAAGTGTATGGCCGGGATGGAGGTGGAACAAAATATCATCTTAAGAAATGTTGTATTGGCTGGCTGGGATAGGTTTCTGCCTCCCCTCCCTCTTCTTCTTCCTCTCCAGGCAGCATCAGCCCTTTCCAATGTCCCTTCAGGGAGTCGTGGCCTGGGACCTTAGCAGCTCCTGCCCATACAAATATGTGCACTTCTCCACATCCTATTCTTTCCAGGCTGTTTTGTAGCCTATTTGAAATGCATGTTGAGTCTTTTGCCTGATGTTAGGTGCTGATGTGCCACCAATTCTGCAAAGACACAATTTGTATGAAAGTTGCTGGAAAAATACCGCTCATTTTCAGCTCTTATTCTCTGATGTGTTTAACACAGCATGGTGTAAAATGTTTAGTAGGTAATGCATCATTTTAGAGAAATGCTTCAAAGACTTGCCTTCAAAAAGATTTCAAAACTTAGTATGCTTCACATGGAAATGGCTGATCTGTTTCCTGGTCTGCATAGTGCTGGGCTGATGATCTGGATCTCCATCTTTGGACCTCCTATTTACCAGTGCTCCTTTTTTTTTTTTTTTTTTTTTTTTTTTAATTTGCAATTTAACAGGAAAACATATTTGCTGATACTCAGAAGGGAGGGAGAAGAGACATGAGTAACTGATAGGAACTGCTGGAATGGCTTTGTTTAAAATTATAGACAACTATGTATCTAAATTTCACATACAAAGGAAGGATCAACTAGGGGAAAAGACATTCTTTATATTTGTTTTCCTTACCCACTAATAAATATTTAAATGATGTTGATGATCTCATTCCTTTTTTTTTAATTCAGGAAAAAGAGGTATGCTGGTATCTGGAAGAGAGACCTGGGGAATTTCCTACAGTGCTTTATTGCTTAGCCTTCAAGAAATTAAATATTTGCAGGGATGTTTCTAAGTCAAAGCAGTCTCCTTGTTTAGCTGTTAACAGTCTGTTTGCTTCCTCGTCAGTGATTTCATTTATTGAGTTAGTTAAAATGTAAGCATGTTTTATTTTTATTGAACAGGAAAAAGTTCATAACCCGGAAAGAAGCTGTTGCTTAGAGGGATTTGTGGTCAATATTGCTCCCCCTGTCCCTTTTCTGGTCGGCTGTAAGAGCAGAGTTGGCTCATTAGGAAAAGTTGCTCTCAATTTTCTCTACTTGCCCTCACGACCAGCATCATCTTGTTTCAAAGCAGACGAGGGAAAAAAATGGAGAGATGCTCGGATTCAAACCAGAGCAAGGAAATTCACTTTACTGTCTCTAATTAAATCCAAACACAGAGCCGCATTAATTCCGTCTGAAGGAAGGAACATGGCATAGAGCAGAGGAGGGACGCGGCAGCCTCCTGCTCTCCCTGGGACCACCCTCTGTTATGTCCCAGCAGGAGCCTGGAGGATGCTCCGCGGAGGGTCCCGATGGGTGCCGGCGTCCAGCCGCCTGTCCCTCGCCGGGACTGTGTGACACTGGAGCATCCCTGCGTGTCCCTGCACTGCCGCTGGCCCGAGGGTGCTCGGAGCGGGCAGAGAAGCTGCAGCGTGGGTGGGAGACGCGCGAGCTCGGTGGGGATGGGGCTCTGGGGCTGCAGGAGGCCACGGGGAGCCCCAACAGCCGCCTAATCCTGACTAGATTAGGGTAATGTTCAGGCCAGCAATGACGGTAATTACCAGGAAGCATTAGTAAAACCTGCGCTGGAGAAAATGAAAAGGATGTGTTTGCCTTTCTCAGAGGAAGACTGCTGTTTGATGTTCTGCTCTTATCTTTGCCACTTGCAAAACAAGAGCTTGGGAACTGGCAGTTGACAGTTGGGTGCGCGGGGAAGGCAGAAGAAACGACCCAGCAACGGGAGATGACCTGTATTTGAGGCCAGATACTCATCCCTCTGCTCACTCTAGTGCGAGGGCGGCAGCTGGGGCCAGACCCCCCTCTCTGGGACAGGACCCCCCCCCAGGGCTGGACATGGTCCTGGTCCCCTGAGCCCCGCTGCATCGCGGCCAGAAAGTCGAATCAGGATGGGCAAAATGCACGGCACGGGTATACCCACAGTGGGCTTCGAGAGAGGACAAAGGCCTGAGCTTAAAGGCAGCTCCTGAGCCAAGGAGGGTGACCCCAAGGAGGGGAGACGGAGACCCCAAGGAGGCTTCACACAACTATATTCCCAGCAGTTTGACCCCAGGTTACAGCAGGATATTTAGGTACAGATGTGATTATGTCTATGGAAAGGCTGCTCATTTTCGAAGATAACTGGCTTAACTAGCATAGAGAGGCCAAAAGGCTTGCTACTATCTGCACAGCCCACTTTCTAGGATGCAACAAGGTTGGATGGAAATGTAAAAGCCTGCAGGGCCAGTGAGCCCGGACTGCCTGCTGGCATGCATTTCTCTCCATTTCTGCAAGAAAAAGCTAGATTTTGACCAGAGAACAAGCAATAATAGCCTCAAAGCCTTCCTCTTTATTTGGCAACCTAAACAGCACTGCCTGTTCATTAATTTATTTAAAGTTCTTTAGAAAAATTTACCCTATACCTCTCAGGATTCTTACTGTGGTTTTTGTGATGGTTTTGTAGGTAGTTCCAGTTGCATGGAACTGTTGCTCTCTCCAGGGGAATACACCAACAGGAAACTGCCTTCTATTTACATGGAAGGAGGTGAGCCTGAAGTCCAACCAGTTACAAAGCCAGCGTCAGAAATTAGTCATGCAGTTGTTTGTGAAATTACAGTCAACTAAGAAATAGCAGCAGGAAAAAAAAAAAAAAATGTTTATTTCCAGGTAAGTGAATCATATTGAACAGTTTTGCTTGTTCTCAAGAAATGCATCACCTGCAAAATTTCCTGAGGCATGAATTTATCTCCCAATTATCAGGAAGGAGCCTGCTGCCATACTGACACACTCCACTGCCAGTGAATGGGTGAGACACTGATTTCAGTCCAGATCCATCCAGAACTATTAAAATCTGCTCAAAACAGTCCGAGGTGTAAGACGTCACACCGAGTGTATCAAGCCTCTGCCTTGCTCAAATTAGGGGTCTATACCCAGCAATTGCAGTACTTTCTTTTAAAGTTTGTGCTGTTTTTCCATTACATGTGGGTCCTCTTGCTGATTAAAACGAGAATTCAGAAGTAGTGGTGTATATATTTGCAATGGCAGGGATAGGGAGAAAAATAGTATTTTCTGCAAGTTGGTACAGCCAGATCTCTGACGCTTGTGTCACGCTCCAGGCTGTCTCCTGCATCCCAGCCTCTCTCCGAGCATCCATGGATTCTGTTAATGCACTCTGAGCACTAACACGGCAAAATTGGGGTGTTTCCTTCTGTGCTCTTGAAAAATAAAGCAAAAAATCTTCAATGAGCGGTCCCCGTTCCTCTTGGCTGTGTGAAAGGAGTCTGGTTCGACTGCCCTCTGCAAGCACCAGGAGAGTTCAGGGTGGGCTCCGGTGTGGACGGGGTCTTCTGCTGCTGCAGTGGAACCAACTGCACGACGGGAGGGAGCACCCTTTGTTTTAGTAAGAAGGTGCTATTTGAAGTTCATTAAAAATGTTATAGCAAGATGTTTCCCATGTGGATTTTGAGGGTCTTTCCTTATCAGAGACTCCCATTTTTGTCTCCTGAAAATTAATGACCCAGCTGTTATGAAAGCTGTGCTTTTAAAATCATTTGTTCGGTACAGGACAGGTTCACCTGGTCGTTTCAGTCTTTTTCCTCATCCTTATGCAGCTCTCCCTG